GTCATTGCAAGGTATTTTGTTAAATATATTATTTTGTTTAATTGGGTCCACTGGGTCCATTTACCTACAGAGCTTCTCCTACTTGAGTGAGTTTGTAGGTTTGAATGCCACCACCCTAATTCCTGTTTTATTAAGAATCCTAAATAGGGTCTCAGATGTACCCTCCTTATATGGTAGATGACAGTAGAGGACTTATCGCTTATTTATGTTATCACTACTAGTTTCACAATTATTTTTATTTTGCTTTTGGCCTTTTCTGATCTTCCTAATGAATTTTATAGGACAGTTATTTGATATCATGAACAATAACTCCACCTAACTATTATTATTATTATTCTCTTGGGTTCCAGGTGAAACATAGACCTTCAGCAACACATTTCCATTTCACTCTGTCCTCTAAAGTTCTTTTTAGCCACCTCCACGATTGCCCTTGAGCTCCCATCTCTTCTTTATAAAATCTTCCCAATGTCATCCTAGGCCACATAACTCGCCGATTTCTTGTTCGAGTTCCGTTTGAAAGTGTGATTGCTTTCAGTGGTCTTCTCGTTTTTAATTCATCTGCATTTCCTTGTAGATATTTGTTCGTCAGTTCGTTCCTAGAATTCCCTGTAGCTGATTCTTTCTGACCATATAATATTCCGTATAAAGGAAGCAAACGGAGCTGTTGGCGAAAGTCTGTGGTCTGTTGGAGATGCCTTTGGTGATGCGCGTCATCTTTGAACCACAAAGAAGTATTGATTTGACACTAGCGTTGAAAAAAAACCCAGCTAAATCTTTTTCTTTTCTGTGATTCCAGCAGATTTCCACACACACTGATTTTAAAGCAGTGAGTATCTGCCTTGCTTTTCTGAGCCTACCTGCCCTTGACAACTTCTTTTGTGTCGCCTGTGGGTTGAGACGTTGTTCCCCCAAATAAGTTAAAGCAGTGACTCTCTTCAAATTTCTATTGTTGTTAGTGATTGTTGCTTGTTGTTGTCTCGTTGCTTTTATTGGTTAAGTGTCTTTATCAGCTTTGTCTTGTCTATATGTTCATTTGAAGCCCTGTCTTTGTTGCTTCTTCGCTCAGTTTGTTGGTTTTCGCCTCCAAGAGACAGGAGATGACCCCTTAAGAAAACCTCTTGCTTCAGTCTGGGCTTTCAGACTCTTTTCAACGAATTTATTATCAAGCTGTACAATCGTATATATATGGTTTTATAAAGAAATTATATCCGGTGAGGGAATTAGGTCAAAGGTGTAAATACATGAAATAATAATAGTATGAAATAAATTTAAAATATTTGTGATTAGGTTCATAGTTTAAGTCAAGTGGAACAATAATTAATGTCATATATAAGATAATACATCAGGTGTATAGATTTTGGGGAGAGGCATATAATTGTAAGATTAATAGACGAATGTAAAATGTTACGTAACATGGTGTGAAATTTGATAACATAGAATTTAATATTGTAAAAATAAAGATAAAAAGTATACACATGAATAATTTTTGGTTTAAAATGTCAAGTAGATCAAGTGGAAAAGATTCAGAATGAGAGTCGTAATAATAATAATAATAATGATAATATAATAAAAATAATCGAAGTAATAAGGGAAAAGTACATAGAATAATAAAATAAATAAATGTCTATCCCTCTACGGCCAAGGCAGCAGTAGGGATTGTACATACTTCTTTTGTACACAAAGGTCTGGCTTAAAGTCATGAATTGCCAAGGCCTCAGCTGTCTTTAGAAGTCTGTAACGAAGAAAACGCGGGAAGTTGGCATGAATTCTATATATGACCTTGAAATCATGGTCAGGGTTGACCGAGTGACAGGAGTCGATGAGGTGTTCTAAGATAGAGCTTCGCACACATTTCCTTTCTCCCTTGTAAAACCAAGCTGGAATATGTTCTCGTATCCGTGTGGAGAGCATTCTCTGACTACGGCCAATGTACCTTGCTCCACAAGAGCAGGTGAACTGGTAGATGCACATGGAGGCGGTCAGACGGGGGAGCTTATCTTTTACAGAGGTAGAGAACAGTTTGCGGCTCGTGAACGTCATATGTAATCTAGCTGCAGGGAACGTTTTACTAACTGATTTAGAAAGACGATTTTTGAGCATATCAGAAGCTTGATCTCCTTTGAATTCCAAGTTCACGAATAGGGTTTTCTTTGGAACTGAGTCAGTGACCAGTTTAGACTGCTTATCTTTCATGTTGCTGTCAATAAATCGGTTAGGGTAACCGTTTTCTGCGAGTGTGGCTTTCAGGAAGTCAAGTTCTGAGTCGACGCAATCAGAACTACAAATTTTCCTTATCCTAAAGCAGAGTGAATGGATTAAATTCCTTTTCCTGGAAATAGGCACCCAACTGTAAAAATTAGTTAGTTGTCCGTTCCATGTACGTTTCCGGTGGATCGATCTCTTGAGAGATCCGTCATTCCGTCTGCTAAGGCACACATCAAGAAACGGAATACTTAGTTCCGATTCCTTTTCTATGGTGAATTGTAAAGAAGGATGGCAGTTGTTGAAGGCGAACAAGACATCATCAAGAACTACGTTCTTATCGCAGATGACGAAAGTGTCGTCTACGTATCTTTTATAAATGTCAAAATGCCCGATGGTTTGACTAAGTTGAGAATTTTCCAGCTTTGCCATAAAACAATCAGCTAACAAAGGACCCAGTGGTGATCCCATGGCAATGCCATCTCTCTGTCTATAGATCTCATTGTTGAAGGTGAACTGAACATTCAACGTGCATCTCAATAAAAGTTCTTTGAGGTGGATTGTCGGTAAACCTATTTCCAAACCATGTGTATCAATATACTCACATAAATAGCTAACAGTTTCCATGAGAGGAACATTGGTAAATAGCGACGTGACATCTAATGAGAACAGGACTTTTTCTGAGACATTAAAATCTTTAATACTATCAATAAATTTAAACGTATCATCAATGGAAAACTTAGATACTTGCCTTCTGACTGGTTCCAATATTTCGGCTAGCCATTGAGCGATTCCGTGATAAGGAGAGCCCGCCATATCGAGGATTGGACGGAGGGGTAATCCTGTCTTATGTATTTTAGGTAGTCCATACAAACGTGGTATAATGGAGCCTACTGGTCTGATGCGTTCGTATATTTCTGACGATATTGCTGACTTATTCCTCATATTCTTTAAGACATCAGTCAGTTGATTTTCAATTAAATGTGTCTTGTTCTTTTCACCGTCGGGTTTGGCGAATTTCGTTTGGTCAGAAAGGATCGCTGAGATTTTATCATTATAATCTTGGCGATTCATAACTACGACACCCCCACCTTTGTCTGGACGGCATATGATAATATCATCATTCTTCTCTAGCTCTTTCAGTTGGTCTATATGCTCTTTAGTCAGAAGATTATTCGAGCTAGGTTTTGAACTAGTATACTGATGACAGCAATCAAGAACTGTGGATTTAAAGTATTGGAATTCCTCAGGTGATGTGGGTGTAAGATCGTTGGTCTGATTAATAAGATTTTCGAATTGCACTTGAGTATGCAGTCTGTTGACTTTGGATGAACTGTTGCAGAATTTGGGGCCCAGTGATAGGGCTTGTAGTTGAATTTCAGAAAGAGTGACGGAGGAATAATTAAAAACATATTTATTGGGGTCAGAGAGTACTTCAGCCGTATCACAAACTATAGGAACTTGTGTGATTCCCAGAATATACCTAGTTTATGAACGAAAGCTGCTACCTTGACGTGGTGGTCGGGCTTGAACACCGCAATGTCCTAATCAAGCTATACTAGCTGAAACTTGTGTCTCTTGAGGTCCTACCATGTCAGAAAGGTTGTTTGGATAGCAGTTAGACAAAAAGCAACTGCCCAATCCAACATTAGGATACGTACAAACTCACAATATATCATGCCGGATCGGCCGTGGCCCGGATTAACAACGACCGCGCTTCCTGCTGCCGTGTCACAGGGCAGGTGTGATAAATATGCTACTGAGACATATCAAACAATAAAGAACGAACAAAAACAGGCCGCGTGTGACCGGCCTGGCTCAAGCAGTTGTCCCCTGGGCTCTGTGGTCACGCAACCAACTTCCACGGGGTGTGAGCAGCCGGGAAGTAACAATCGCCCTCACAATCCGAAATGCACACGAAACCTGTCTAATATTCACTCATCTTTGTCTTCATTTTCATCTCTATTATCTTGCCTTCCTTCCACTGATGCAACTCCTCTACTTGATAGCTCTTCACTTTCACTCCACTCTGTGTCGACTAAAAACGATGGAAGCCAAACACACCACCACCGATAGTCTCCTAAAGCCACGCCACCAATTTCATATCGGAGCATTTAATGTTAGGACACTTGGCCAAATAGGACAACAAGCATCACTAGCCAAGACTCTGGCGTCCCAAACCATTGATGTATGCTGTGTTTCAGAAACACGCATATCTGCCTTCATTCAACCCTTTCAATTATATTTAGAATTTGTAGTTATTTTAATAAAATAAAATCAATCCAACTGTCTAATTATGTATGTGATGGATGGATGGTGCGTTTAACTCCAATAAAAGTAACTTCGCTCTTTAAAAGGTTTCAACTCTACCCATTAGTCTACTAGTCTATGCATTTCTACGTATTGGTACATATAACATGGTGTCTTTATATATATAGAACATAGGGCTTCAAGCTCTAAGCTTTGAAGTTTCAGTAGCAGTGGGTTTTTTTACAGGGTAGGAGTAGGGGGGCTTGCTAGCCTCACGGCCAACCTCCCCTCTTTACTGGTCTTACTACCCTGGCTAAGTAAAGTTTAGTAGTTTGTCGACAGAAGGAGTCGAACCCCCCTGTACTATATGGTTGGTTGGTGGAGTATTTTTCTCCATGTTTTGTTGTTCATCATCATCATCATCTGTCTCATCAATATGTCGCGCTAATGATGATAACGGATGCCCCTATAGAGATTTTGTTGAATTCAGTTCAATTCATTTCTTTCTCTTGTTTATTTTTTTTGCTTCCCTATATTATTTCAATCAGGTAACCCAAGTTGAAGAACCTTCAAAATATGGTGTTGTTGTCTACGATCAAGCCACTGGACGGGTAGATCGTTTTGTAGAAAAACCAATTGAATTTGTTGGTAATAAAATCAATGCTGGTATATACCTGTTAAATCCTAGTGTTATCGATAAGATACCTGTAAGTTCACCTTTTGTTGTGTTAGTTATGTATATTACAGTTATTTTTGCTCCTGTAATATTACTGTTTCACTGTAATGTAATGCTCTCACTAATATTGACTGCTTACCGGGTAGAGTTTTGTCTAAAGTTCTAGTGAGAAGTGGTTACCACTGAGTGTGTGTGTATGTGTCTGAGGACAAGTGATTGGCTATATTTCAATAGTAGACTGAGGTTATAAAGCATTGGATTCCACTACAGTGGGTAGAATGAATGACCGATAAACGTCTGTCTGTTTTCGACATAGAACTTTGCACAAATGTGCGGAAGTTCAAGTCGCCACACTCCGTGTAGCACGCGAAGCAAGAGAAGAAAGTACAAAAAAGCATAATAGAAACAGTGAGCAGAGGTGTGAGACAAAGGAGTAATAAATAAATACAAAGCAGTTTCATTGGAGATCATAAGTCACAAGGAGTGGATGCATCTGCGCTAGCCACTGAGAACGATTTTGAGCCATGTCACCAATTGTTTCCAACCATAGATTTTTACCGTCCCGAGGACCCCAGCCTGAAAGTCTACACCTTCCTACGTGGCTTAGACCAACTGTTGTGGATTTCATTGACTGGTACCAAGTTTTTGTTTGACCGCCGCTAGCTTTTTTCCAGCCTGACCCTATATCCGCTAACATAGCTCGTCGAGGGAAGCGATGGTTTGGCATACGTAACACATGTCCTAACCAGCTCAGTCTTTGTAGCTTCACGACTTCGTCGATTGATTTCCCCTGTTTACCTAGAACTCTACGCCTAACCTCCATGTTGCTCACCTTATTATGCCACTTTACACGGGAAATAGAGCGCAGGCGCCTATGATCAAAGACAGCTAGTCTTTTCATGTCTTCCACTCTCAGTGGCCAGGTCTCACTGACAGCCATAAAGGAGGACGGAGCGGACTGATGAACCGATAAACTTATCTCAAAACCTAAAGATCCTGGGCTTCGGTCCCTAATGGGTGGGATTATGGATGTGTACTGCTGAAGAGTCCCAAACTAGGGTGAATCAACTGTCCAGTAGTAGTAGTAGTACTCCCTGTTGGTTTTCATTGATTCTCTTACTTGATGTCATTTTGTAATCGGACATTAAAATCAATCAAATCCGCGCATTCAGTCTTTATTTGACTGAGTAGTATTCAGCTATCATTTCAAAAAGTTTATTAATATATATTATGTGTAAAACTTGGGCACTGTGGTAGCAAATAATTCCATATTAGTTTGTTTATTAGATGCATTACACAGTCAGTGAAACAGTATTATTATTTACTGGATGACATAGTTTCGAACAAAATTTACTGCTGTTCATAATCATTTCATCAATTATAATCACACGACTTCGAAAATTTTGGTTTTATAGTTTTCTTTATTCTCTCCTATTTGTCGTCGTTAAGGTAGTTGAATTTTCCAGATATTCGACTGGACAAGTGTTGAATCATTCCTATTACACGTATTCACTGTCAGTAGGTTCGATAAACAAAGTTTCTGTTATCAATCTTTCCCTCCACCATGTTACATTATATTTTAAAAGTGTCATTTTATCCCATCCAGACTATTGTATGGTTGTGTGTCACTGCATGTAGTGCTATAGCTGAACTATTCTCTAGATTTCTTATCTTATTCGGGTCAACCAATCTAGATTTTGCTGGTAGGTTTTTATGCTCGGCTAGTCTGACTGACTGTCCCTGTTCTACGCTTTGACCTATGTATTTGACCTGACAATCATTGTAGACAGGGTATTAGATAAACTAAATTGTTTTGTTTTCAAGGCTCCACTGGCAGGATCCTTTAACCGACAAAGCTTGTTTCTAATTGTGTTTGTGGGTGGTTTGAATGCCAGCCACTCTTATTCCTGCCTTTTTAAGAATTCTGCATCAGGTTTCCGAGGTTCCTTCCTTGTATGGAATTGCTACTGATGGCTTAGATTCCTTATTGTTGGTGTCGTCGAGAATATTATTATTGTCATCACTATTATTATTATTAGCATTATTAGTGTTATTATTACTACTATCGCTAATATCATTATTTATTTTATTTTTACATTTCATTACATATTTCCTGCCTAATTTATCCTGATAATTATTAAGTTCCAAGGCTTCTACTACTTAGTTTTTGTGCTTTATTATTTAAACATTTCACCAATCCTATTTTTACTGACATAGGATGGGATGATCGGAAGTCCAAATATCTGTTTGAATGTGTGTGTGGGTTTTCTGTAAACACTAGTGTCCTTAACTTCCCATTTTCTTTCCTTTTTACGCTGCAATCTAACATTGGAAGCTCCCCTTCCTGACTTTCCAATTCATAAGTGAATTGAATCGCATCCACCTTTGAGTTGATGTGTTCGAAAAATCTATCTATATCTTGTGTTCTAAATACAGTAAATGTGTCATCTACATACCACCACCATATTTTTCGAGTGAGGCTGAATGTTTCAATCGCTATGTTTTCCCACCTATCCATGAATATATCTGCTACAATCGGGGATATTGGTGACCCCATGGCAACTCCCTCAGTTTGTTCGTATATTTTCGCTTGGAATTTAAACACTATGGAAATCAGGCACAGCTGCACTTCCAGCATTATGTCCTCAATTGGTACTTTCGTCCTAAGTTCGAGTTCTTGGTCAGAAATGAGTTCGTTTCTGACTGCCTATATAGACATATCCAGTAAATAATACTGTTTTACTGTGTGATACATCTAATAAACAAACTAATATGAAAAAAGTTTATTAGCCAAATACCGTAGGAGTTAACTTGAGTCCTCACGGTTCACGCTAACGGTACTGTTTCAGCCTACCTGTTGTTAAGACACCGACGATGTGTCTTAAGACTAATGTCCTGTTACGAACATTATTCACGTGTGAAATAAGAATGTGTGTGTGTGTGTAACCTGTGAGTCATGTTTACGTCTAGGAAAGGAATGAGGAAGGGGCATATGCGGTGCACGTACAAACAGTCTTTGGTTAGCAAACTGTTGTGTATTGTAAAATACACCGAAAATATCCATTGAGCTATGAAGAAAATAAAAGATAAATAAGTCAGCAGTGAGGAAAATTTTCCTAGTCGACTAAATCATCTTCATAGGCTGTACAGTCAGTCGTATTTAATATTCATGTATGTGACTAAATTGTCATATGGTTTTGAGCGATATAATTTATGCTCGAAACGTCATCGCGTCGTATTTATATTCACCAAAAATAACGTATAGTATTCTATTATTGAGTAATAGGCGGGTGGTAACATAATTGATATAATTACTCATAATTGGCCTCAAAAGTATAATTAAAAATTACGCTACAGTCAATGGCACAGAGGAAGAAATGGTTTGAAATTTGATAAGGTAGTTGAGTGTCCATTTAATAGGTGGGATAAGTGTGAGAAAATGTACAAAAGGAACATATGAGAGGAATAATAGTGAATTAATTATTGTTAAAAATAAAAACAAACTAATTATGAAAAATGACAGGGAACGATTAATGAAGAGATTAATACCATGGTAGAATAAAAGACTGGACAAAATTTTCCCTGTATAGAGAGTCCAAGGTTGTATTGACGAATCGTCAGCGCCTCTATCATACAGAAATGCCAAAGCTTAACGCCCATTTTACCATTCAGTCTCACCTTGTAGATAATCTTAAAAGACGACTCTAGTGGAGCTGCTTGGCTTGAGTTCACCAAGTGCTTGAGAATTCAGCTACTAACTGTATTGCATTGTCCTTTTGCTAATCATATCGGATAATATTCAGAGATGCGTTTAGTAAGTTTGCATTTTGTCCGGTCAATATTAACTTACTCCACAGGAACAAGTGAATTTATAAACACACCTTGTAAAGTGGCCCAAAGTGGCAGTTCACCTTTTACACATCCGTTGATCATTTGTCGACTGTAGAAATTTATCCCCGTAGCGCAGCTGAAAAGAAGGTGATCTGGATAACCAGCGGTCAGATCAGATGTTGTATATAGAATTTTGAAGTACTTTTCAGATGGTGAGTGTCGCGAGTTCATCAAATATTCAGTTACCAAGCTATAGACACACTCCTTTTGCTGATCAGGCTTGATAGTGTTCCTGAGAGTGTTTTAAGAACGGACGTATACTACAGTCAATTTACTCAGCTTTGTAACAGCAAGTAAAATTGGTAGAAGTTAAAATTCATGGACTGGCCATTGAATCAGGTCCCACTGATTGAATGTTATACGAGCCAACTTGCCTTGTAACCAGAAGGTCCTGGGTTCGAACCCTGTTGGTGGGTGCGTGCTGCTGATGATTCCCAAGTTAGGACGAAACATCTGTCCAGTATTCCCTGTGGCTGGTTTTCAATGGTTCTCTAACTGATATTAATCCGTGATCAACTCGTAAAAAAATAATAAATGTATGTTGATGTGATCCAGTGCGATGGCTTGTCCTTCGTAGGCTAGCGGTAAAGTATATTCTACTGAGAAATGTCATTGGAAAGAAGATTTCCTCTGTTGCAACCATCTTTTTAATTATTATTATTATTATTGTTATTGCCAATGATTTAGTGTGTTTGTTTTTCTATTGTTCATTTTTAGCTTCGTCCAACTTCAATCGAGAAGGAGATATTCCCAGGGATGGCAGAAAATAAACAACTCTATTGTATCACATTATCAGGTAGAGCCATATATATTCTATGCAAAACAATAACATTGAATATATATAGGTGTATATTTAAAATATGACTTAACTAATATTAATGCCTAGTCTGCGAATAAGAGTGACATCGATGGAGAGGGTTCTGTAAGGAAGAAATGAGAGTTAGTGGGCAGTCATGAAGCCGGATGATAAAATGCAAAGTCCTCTGAACACCTTGGGGAGCAACAACACTCAACGCCTAACCTCAATATTGCTCACCTTATTATACCACTTCACACGGGAAATAAAACAGGCATCTATGATCAAAGACAGCTAGCTGGCATTTTCATGACTTTCACTCTCAATGGCCAGGTCTCACATCCATAAAGGAGGATGGGGTGGACTGCTGAGCAACACTTTCGCCCTTTGGTCGATAACCAGCCGGATATCACGTCTATGCTAGAGGCGGCCTAGAGTATAGGGGGCTTCAAGCCTCTTGAGCTTTGATGTTTCAATAACAAGGATGTTATTCTTTTTACAGTATGGAGTTCCATTTACCAACCTTACTTATCAGCCAAGAGAGGTTAAGGAGTTCATCGATCGGGTGTCAAACCACACACCACATACACCCAGTTGGGTGAGTATTCTACCAATAAGCCGCAGATACTGATGCACAATAATTCATATATTTCAACTTTAATTCTGTTGACTAAAGTATCCGTCTAAACTGAGAAATAATCTTGATATGTAATTGTAAAGCTTAGTTAATTAAAGCTCAATTACTGGGCTGTAAAACACATTTATTGCGTGTGTGTGTGTGTGGTGGTGGTTGTGTTGGGATTAATGGCACTACCTAGTTGCGCTCAGGTGGTCGAAGTAGGCGTAATGAGACTCAAACCCGTGCCCACTACATCTTCACAATTGTTAAGCTTGAAAGGGAATCATTAATTTAGAAAAATATTCCTAATCATTGAAGGCTTGTTTATAAGCATGCATTAATGCCACCCTCTCTCTCTCTGTGTATATCTCTCCTATGTCCTTCTTATATTCTAAAGCTCTTTCTTTTTAAAAACTTCATCTTTTCTTATTTAGGTTTTTGGATGGATGTTGGACAACCAAATGATTTTTTAAAAGGTACAAATCTATACCTGAATTATTTGAAACAATCCAATAATGTCAAAGAACTTGCAACTGGGGATAATATTCAAGGAAGTGTTATCATAGTATGTGAATAGTCTTTGTTAATTTGTGATTCTTGTTGTGTGTGTGTGTGTGCGTGGGCGCGTGTTTGTGTTCCTTTAATTTCTGTGTTTATTTTGATGATGATTATGGTAAGAATTGTTAGCGGAAGTAGAGCAAAGATAATAATAATAATACTCTGAGTTATTTCACCAACAGTAAAGAATAGACACCACGGTAAAATAACCTTGAACCAACCATTCAGATCACTGAGTATTACAAATCGATGTTTTTCATAATCTTCTTTGTAGGTTTCACTGTAACTCTTAATCAATATAACCCACCCTTGAACTTACCGTAACCTTATACCTGAATCAGGGTGAAACTTGCAACGAAGATTATGAAGAGCATATATGTTTAATGCTCAACTATCTGATTGGTTGGTTCAAGGTCATTTGACTGTGCTGTTTATTCGTCACCGTTGCCATCAATTCTGATTAATCTTCTGTTATTTTATTGGAAGGTAGTTATGCGTTTGTTTTATTTGATTGAATTTTTCCGTTATTTGTTTACATCACCTCAAAAAGATCAAATTTTTGGCTTGTCATCTGTTAGGTATGCAAATGCTTCGATGGAGTCTTAGTGGGGCACAGGTGTGTGAAGCTGATGAGTCCTACGTTGGACGAAATACCCATTGTGGGTTTCACCACTTATCCAATGATATGTATTTGTGTGTTTGTATGAGTTTAACCATCGACGATGTATGTATTTTTGTAAAATTATTAGTGCCCTTGTGGTTCTTCAGTGATAGAGAGAATACTCTGCAATCACTCATGTGGTCCAAGACTCGATTTCCTAACTGATGGCACTTCCGAATCCCAAAATGAGAAAAGATGTGGCATTGGAGCCCGAACCCCCCCCCTCCTATATTCCACTCGGAATTCGAAATGAAAGGCTAAAAGTTATCGTCTTTTTCTACATCGAGTGCTAGGTAAGGAGGGAAAATCAATCGACGAGGCTGTGAAGCTACCTCGACTGAGATGGTTGGGACATGTGTTATGTATATGCCCAATCATCATGGCTTTCCTCGACGAGCAATCTTAGCTGACTAACATAGGGTCAGGTTGGAAAAGAGCTAGCAACTGTCAAACCAAACACATGGCATCAGTCAATGAAATCCACAATAGTTAGTTCAAGCCACGTAGGAAGGGTGGTGTAGACTTCCTAACTAATTGGGGTCCTCTGGACGGTAAAAATCAATGGTTGGAAACAATTGGTGATATGGCTTAAAATCGTTCTCAATGCATGGCGCCGATTCATCCACTCCTTGTGACTTATGATTTCCAATGAAACTATATTGTTCTTCGTTATTACTATTCCTTTGTCTCACACCTCTGTTTACTGTCCTTATTATGCATTTCTTCTACTTTCTTGTCTTGTTTTGTGTGGTACATTGAGGGAGTGTGACGACTTGAATTGCTGCACATCGGTGCAAAGTTCTATGTCGAAAACAGACAGACAGAGAGGTATCGAGATAATCGTGGTAGTTTACTTAACTGAATCGTGGGTAGCTAAATACACTAATACTTCAAATGAAAAATGTTGTTAGGAGGCAAAGGGTAGTTCGATTGAAATTTGGTGTTCTTCATTATCCAGAATATGATTTCAGTTGAATACACGTATACACCATTTTGAGTTATTTCGCCAATAGTCTGAAGCAGGGTATTCTTAGTATCTTGAAGAGAAAAAAATGGCACTGTAATTAGCTCACAGGATAGACGACTGGATCGTTGGAAAGAGCATTATGAGGAGCAGTTTAATTTGCCCACAGCCACGCTCAACCTTCCGAGCATCCAACACCTCCCTGAATGGGATATAGACACAGGTCCTCCGTCACTAACTGAGGTTACTAAAGCTGTCACCAATCTGAAACTAGGCAAAGCAGCGGGACCTGATGGAATGACGCCAGAGGTATTTAAGTACGGTGGAGACAGCTTACTGTCCGGATTAACTGAGGTACTAGGCAGCGTCTGGGAATCAGAAGAAGTCCCATCGGGTTGGTGTAAGTCACTGATTATCCCCATATACAAGAAGGGAGACAAGTCTTCCTGTGATAATCACAGAGGGATTAGCTTGACTAATATAGTATCTAAAGTCTTAGGCTCAATAATCATGCGTAGACTGAGTGGTGCTCGGGAAGCACAAACACGAGAGAGCCAGGCAGGCTTTAGACCAGGAAGAGGGTGTATTGATCATATCTTCACCCTCCGACAGATTCTAGAACATAGGAATTCCTACCGGCGTCCAACAGTCATTATATTTCTTGACCTAAAGGCAGCATTCGACTCTGTCGATCGCGAAGTTCTCTGGAGATGCTTGGCTGTAAAGGGAATTCCAAGAAAATATATTGCACTGATTAAGGCACTCTACTCGTACTCATACAGCCAGGTGTGGGCTTACGGCGAGCTGTCATCTGAACTGATGACGACCAGTGGTGTCCGTCAAGGATGCCCATTATCTCCTTTTCTATTCAACTTCATCATAGATGTGTTAATGGACTTAACCCTAGGTGACTTCAGTGACTCAGGGATTGACTTGCTACCAGGGAATAATCTCGTTGACTTGGAATATGCAGACGATATAGTCCTTCTAGGCGAAGACGCTGACAAAATGCAGAGTCTTCTAAACACCTTGAGCCGCAATCTACGAATGTTTGGCATGCGATTCGCTCCCGCCAAATGCAAGATGATGTTACAGGACTGGACTACATCGACGCCTAGTTTAAAAATAGGAAGTGAAGTGGTAGAGCACGTTGACCGCTTCACTTATTTGGGAAGTACCATCAGCGAGTGCCAACTGGTTGATCTCTGACGAAATCTCAGCACGAATACAAGGGGCTCGTTTCGCATTTGTTAGTTTACGCCGACTCTGGCGTAGACGAGATGTTCGACTATCGACCAAAGGGCGGGTGTACTGCTCATCAGTCCGCTCCGTCCTCCTTTATGGTTGTGAGACCTGGCCACTGAGAGTGGAAGACATGAAAAGACTAGCTGTCTTTGATCATAGGTGCCTGCGTTCTATTTCCCGTGTAAAGTGGCATAATAAGGTGAGCAACATGGAGGTTAGGCGTAGAGTTCTAGGTAAACAGGGGAAATCAATCGACGAAGTCGTGAAGCTACAAAGACTGAGATGGTTAGGACATGTGTTACGTATGCCAAGCCATCGCCTCCCTCGACGAGCTATGTTAGCGGATATAGGGTCAGGCTGGAAAAAAGCTAGCGGCGGTCAAACAAAAACTTGGCATCAGTCAATGAAATCCACAACAGTTGGTCTAAGCCACGTAGGAAGGTGTAGACTTCCAGGCTGGGGTCCTCGGGACGGTAAAAATCTATGGTTGGAAACAATTGGTGACATGGCTCAAAATCGTTCTCAGTGGCGCAGATGCATCCACTCCCTGTGACTTATGATCTTCAATGAAACTGTTTTGTTTTTCTTTATTACTCCTTTGTCTCACACCTCTGCTCACTGTTTCTATTATGCTTTTCTTGTACTTTCTTCTCTTGCTTCGCGTGCTACACGGAATGTGGCGACTTGAACTTCCGCACATTTGTGCAAAGTTCTATGTCGAAAACAGACAGACAGACAGAAGAGTCCAACCAAGGTTGCTGAAACTAGTGATTAACGGTTTTATTGCTTGACTTCATATTTTCGTCTGACTACCAATAACACTTTTTCGATGAAGCTGTATTTTAGTTGACTTTACTCGTCACGGAAAGAAGTGATTCAACGCGCCTAACACGTATTATATCAGCCATCTCAGTCTATTTAACTCCACAAGTTTCACTCCTTACCTCATCACTTCATGTCTGTCTAACCTCATTCCTGCACAGTATGTTGTTCTGTTCAACAGAGGTATCCATAGTCGAAAACTGTTAATTTCATCCTACCTTCCATTTTCTTTGGCTATGTCTCACTTCTTCACGGTACGCAAGTCATCTCATGGATAGTTGGATATCACGCCTGCACTAAAGACGACGCAGTTAGTTTGGTAGTTTTATTTGTGATTAGATTTTGTCAGTGACGACAGAACTCCCTCCCTTTCTACTCTTATTAAACTAGGAGTTTTTACATGTCAGTCCTGTAATATCATCATCTTACATGTGTAAAAGGGAATTACTAAATATATTCATTTTCCTGATGATATTGGGTAGTTGGAGACAATCGGCCACAGGAAGCCTTGCCTGACCTAGGTTACGTGCTAGTTGGCACTCACTAGTCAACAAGGCGTCGTATCTGCAACCTTGAAGGAACTCATGTCCCTTTTGAGATTCGAGCCCGTGTCACCCAGTGCTACCTGCAGTCAGAGACGTTACCAATGAGCTATTCAGGCTCACGATGGCGAGCTACCTAGAATGGTGGCCACATTGCAAACCTGACTGATATAATTCAGTCTGCACCGAAGTTAGGACTAGACACGTCACACTAGTTACTAGTGTCCAATCGAAATACTTATTTTCCTACTTGGTGTTTGGAATGCTGCATTTTATCAGTGTCGTCACTTGTAAGTGCAATGTCATCTATGTACTGTAGATCAACGGTGCTTTTTTCTGTTAATAAGTCATTTCTTGAGTCGACCGGGGATTACACTCATCAGTATATTTCCAATGGAGTCGAAGAAGATTGGTGCCAATTGGCATCCCAGATGCACAATGAATACTGGTTGTCATCACTTTTAATTACCCAGGTCTCCATAACTTCTCACATGACTGGTTGAGTTAAGGTGGAGTTCAGTAAAATAACTGAAATATTCCCTGTTGGAACTTTGTTTTCACTATCAAATATTTCTGCAGCATCTTTCGATCAACTGGACAAGATATGTCACCTTCAGGTGAAAATATTTGGCTTGGCTAGTTTTGGACATCATCATTATACGCATGCCTGTGTTTCAGGACACATGTCAAAAGATAACCACATAATCAATACTCTGCGGTCCAGTCTTGTTTCTTCTGAACCCCAGTTGATCTTAAGTGTCATTATTATCCAAGCTATCACTTCTGTGATTATTACAGTATAGGATTTATTTCCTTTCTCACGAATTGGGATGATCAACAATCTGCACCAGTCTAATTGAACTGTGTCGGCTATTTTTTTTTTATAAACTACCTCGTATCATAGTTAAATATTTCATCATCCTTGAATGCCGTTGTAGTTGAACCTAATTTTCGTTTGAAAGAGACACCCTATTCTTGATGTAGTTGAATAGTGTGCAATAGTCGTTTGGCAGTATATCAGTTGAAATGCTTTGCCTTACATATTTTAGCTGTTTCTTCTGGGGGTGGGGAGGAGGTTAATCATCACGGGCTTATTACCCTTCGCTGAAATTGTTTCTCATGATAACATTGTGAGGGCCTATCGCCTCAGCAAACTTAAATACCTTATTTCCAAATGTTTTTGACTTACAAGAACCTGATTAGTCACAGGTTTAACATCAGTTCAAGAACCATTGAAAAATTAGCTGGGAGTACTACTAGGCGGTTATTTCGTCCTTGTTTGGGACTCTTCATCAGTCTGCACCCACTGGGACTGGAACCCAGGACCTTCTGGTTACAAGGTGAGCTTGTAGGTCATTCAGCCATTGGGACCCTTATTCTCCAGTCTCCTGAAAATTCCCTAGGCAACATCACTGGGGAGTAACTCTCCATTTACCTAACTTGGTGATGGACCATGCTGGTCACATCTTTTTCATTAGAACTCCAAGTAACTTCGCGTATAGGACCAGTCGCTAGTGAGCATCAGGTTATTTATCAAGTGTTAGTTTGCAGGGATTTGATTGGTCACGAGTTGACATGAGTTAAGAAACCATTGAATAATCAACTGGAGAGAGTACTGGACAGCTGTTTCATCGGCCTAGTTTGGGACTCTTTACCCACCGGGTTCGAACCCAGGGCTTTATTGGGGTTTACGCCTCTTCTTTCTTAGTCACATGTTTGTATGTCTCATTTACCTAGCTGAGTATCATCCTAGTGAAATTCACTGATTTGTCTTTATTTTTTATTTTTTCCAAGGTAGCTAATAATTCAGTCTCATAATATTTATTTTCTTCATAAAAACTTGTTTTTAATCTCATTGTAGCATCCTACAGCTGTAGTTTCGCCTACTTGTGTTCTTGGACCAAGTGTTGTTATCGGAGCAGATTGTGTTGTAGGCGATGGTGTTCGTATTCGTAATTCTACTCTACTTCAAGGAAGTGTTATTAATGCTCATTCTTGGATAGAAAATTGTATTGTTGGTTGGCGGTGTATTATTGGACAGTGGGTAGGTGGCGATTTATCGTTATAAGTGTTTATTCGCTTTCTTTTTGAATTAGTTTGAACCTTGTTTTTACTTGAAACAGAAAGCCTTATTGATTGTATCAAGTATTTTATTATTATTATTGTTATTCCCTTGGGTTCCGAGTAGAACATCCAGTTCTCTGCAATCCTCTTCAGCTGACTCCACGATTTGCCCTTAGGCTCTCATCTCCTCCTCCATGTCACCCTCCAATCCAAGTCCAACTCGTCCTTTCCTATTCGGACTGCACTCTGCAAGTCACCCAACGGTCTCGTCAGCGTGTTTCTCATCCACTTCCATTTTCTTCAGGATATTTATTGAGGAATAGGTTCTTGATTGGTTCATGTCCAAAATTTCTTGTCGCTAATTCCTTCTGACCGGATATTTGATCTTCAATATAGAGGCAGCTGCAGTGGCGTGTTAAAAATATTTTTTGTAACGCGCAGGGCATCCAGATAGAAGAAGAAGTGAATGACTGACTTAACATTGGTGTTGAAAACCCGAATATTGTTCTTTATCGTAAGTGCAGCGAATTTCCGAACTGATTTCATATTGATGAAGGTCTGTCTTGCCTCTTCGATTCTGTTCCTAACATCTTTATCTAGATCGTAATTCTAGGGATGAGTCCTGGGACGTCAAACAAATTAACCTGTAACCTCATCTGGTTTACTCGTTCGCTAGTTTTCTAGTTGGTCCTAAGTTCAAGAAAAGAAGGAAATTTGGGATTAGCTACCCTACCGCGGAAAACCAATCCAATCGCTAGAAAGACTTCACAGCTAAGTATTGTTGAGTCTACTTAGATAGTTGACTGATTGAACCTGTCTGTATCCATCAATTTCGTTACTTGCCTGTCGATGCATGTGTGTGTGTGTGTCTGTGGCTCTACTGTATTGACCGCCTAACTTTTGTGTATCAGAGTGTCTAAGTAAGTTCATTTGATACATAAGACCCTATAAAGGCTATTATCTTGCTGAGCATGTGAAGATTTACAGGAATATACCTAAGCTGCAGTTATTAAGAGTCCAGATCTTTTTTTGTTTAACCTTTGAATAGTGTGATTAGAAGAACAACAGTATCTGAAGAATTCTGTAGTGAATAAGGCAACAACAACAACAGTGGTTTGTGAAGCATAATATGGTACCATCACCGGTTATTTCGTTAGCTTCTCATTATCTGCTTACAGTCTAGATAAATTGAGGTTTATGTACTGAAAAGTTTTAACATACTTGCAAATTTTACATTATGTCAGTTTACAGGAGGTTTTTGGAGATTAACTCCAAAGTTCAAGTTTAGACAAAGTCAATGGTAAAGGAGTTACGTAACTGAAAGATGAGAGATGTGTATGATGATGATTGGCTTGTAAATTAGGTAACAATGTACTGAGTTCAACTCAAATCATAAAAACAAGAAACAAGCGAAATTATAAAAGAGGGTGAGGTTAAAGCCTAAGATTACGCAATCAGATGAAAGAGACAATAAAGACATCCAGTTACCAGTCAGGGCGAGGTAAGACTGATAACTGTTTATTTCTGAACACATAAATCGGGTTACAGACATTTGATATAGATTGCTTTGGTAAAACTTAAGGAGAATTGAGATTTTCGTCTATTGCACTGTTATGAACAAGCAACCTGATTGCGCAATAACAATGAGATTGTTCACGAATATACGGCTTGATTACGCCGACAACATTATGCAACAGTTATTGTATTTCCTCCAGCCTGCTCTACTTAAGCCAAAACACATAACAACGTGAGATGGAAAAAATATTTAACAGTATCCGTATAACAAAGTGACTCCTCCAAAATACAATGATATACAAATATATATACATTTGTGGCCAATGGGATTGTGTGAGTGAAGATAACCATAAAAGGATATTTTCTGTCCAAGAATATAGTTGTGAGCAAAAATATCTAATCTGACCTTGGCCTTGGAATATGCAGACGATATAGTCCTTCTAGGCGAAGACGCTGACAAAATGCAGAGTCTTCTAAATACCTTGAGCCGCAATCTACGAATGTTTGGCATGCGATTCGCTCCCGCCAAATGCAAGATGATGTTACAGGACTGGACTACATCGACTCCTAGTTTAAAAATAGGAAGTGAAGTGGTAGAGCACGTTGACCGCTTCACTTATTTGGGAAGTACCATCAGCGAGTGCCAACGGGCTGATCTATGACGAAATCTCAGCACGAATGCAAGGGGCTCGTTTCGCATTTGTTAGTTTACGCCGACTCTGGCGTAGACGAGATGTTCGACTATCGACCAAAGGGCGGGTGTACTGCTCATCAGTCCGCTCCGTCCTCCTTTATGGTTGTGAGACCTGGCCACTGAGAGTGGAAGACATGAAAAGACTAGCTGCCTTTGATCATAGGTGCCTGCGTTCTATTTCCCGTGTAAAGTGGCATAATAAGGTGAGCAACATGGAGGTTAGGCGTAGAGTTCTAGGTAAACAGGGGGAATCAATCGACGAAGTCGTGAAGTTACAAAGACTGAGATGGTTAGGACATGTGTTAGGCGTGCATGCCAAGTCATCGCCTCCCTCGACGAGCAATGTTAGCGGATATAGGGTCAGGCTGGAAAAAAGCTAGCGGCGGTCAAACAAAAACTTGGCCTCACCAGTCAATGAAATCCACAACAGTTGGTCTAAGCCATGTAGGGAGGTGTAGACTTCCAGGCTGGGGTCCTCGGGACGGTAAAACTCTATGGTTGGAAACAATTGGTGACATGGCTCAAAATCGTTCTCAGTGGCTAGCGCAGATGCATCCACTCCCTGTGACTTATGATCTTCAATGAAATTGTTTTGTATTTCTTTATTACTCCTTTGTCTCACCCCTCTGCTCACTGTTTCTATTATGATTTTCTTGTACTTTCTTCTCTTGCTTCGCGTGCTACACGGAATGTGGCGACTTGAACTTCCGCACATTTGTGCAAAGTTCTATGTCGAAAACAGACAGACAGACAGACAGATTGTCAACATAAACATGTGACGGGCCTCACTACCTTGCAGACTTATCGATAAGATTTCTAGCTCATTTGCGTGATTTTGATGTAGTTGTGTTCTCTGAGCTCGGTGGTTTATTTGCGAAGTTTCCATTGCCCTACTTACTAGGCAACATCTTCAGCGCATACTACTTCAATTTGAACTGAAGTGAACTTTTAGATTTCTCCATGGATTTATTAGTCATCTCTCCTGGTGACCACCTTGAATGTGATTGGTTGCTTGTGTGTGTTTTCGCACTTTTAAGGCTACTTGTATTGGAACTGATTGTTGCCTTGACTCTTGACCTTTGGCCATTTAAGTGTGAGATTTCGTTCTTATCGGTTGATAAATTTTGTCTATCTCGATGTGTTTATTGATTGATGATTCATTAGGATACCACGCCTCTAAAAATTCTCTAGCATTCTTGGTGTTTCCTCTGTCTTATATTTGAACGTTGTCCCAGTCGAAATAATGTCCGTGGTTGTCTGTATGCAGCGATATGAGGGAGTGGATGTCATGTCTTTTGATGGCTAGATTATGTTTATGGATACAAAGACGAAGGGGACGTCCACTTAGGCTAATGTAGTATTTTACACAGTCGTTGGAATTAATCTTGTAGATGAAGTTGGTTGCATATTCTTCGGTTGTTGAGTCTTTTGATTGACATAGAACTGAGTGAAGTGATTCTGCTGGTTTGTGTGCGACATCAATTCCTAAAGGTTTGAAGAGTCTTGCAGTGATCTCTGAGGTAGAGCGATTTTCTTTGTGCTTTCCTTGTGGGCTTTTGATTTAATAGGCTTGGGAGGGGGGGGTAGATGTCTTTTGATGAAATTCTGTGGATATCCATTCTTTTGGAAGACGTTCATGAGATATGCTTCTTCGATTTTCCTTAAGCTGGGAGTTCTGCAATGAGTCCTGGCTGGTTGGCTTTCTTGAATAGTGTTTGTATACAACTCCTTGTGTGTGTTATTGGATTTTCGCTGTTGTAATTTAGTATTTGGTCTGTGTTAGTTGATTTTCTATAAACTTGAGTTTCTAATTTCTCTGTGGTTGTTCATCACTTGCTTAAGATGTCCCTAAAAATGGGATTTTTTTTCTCGGATTCCTCATCACAAGAGAAGAGGAGGAGTCCGGGACTTAAAGTCAAATGTTCTAAAGACAATCACCAATCATTACCTGATTCGGTCTATGCATCATCCGGGCAGGATCTCCAGCTTTACTGTGCCGCATCTCTTGGTACTTATAATGTTTACCAGAATTGTGTTTGCTTGTTTTTCTTTAAAATTATTTAGTAAATAAAGTTTATTTTTTAAGCTCTGTTCACTCTGTATTATTTAATATATTTCACCTAATCAATACCTTTGTTGTTTTCCTACAGGTTCGAATGGAGAATGTATCTGTTCTCGGTGAAGATGTCATTGTATCCGATGAATTATTTGTCAATGGGGCTCGTGTATTACCACACAAAAGTATATCACAATCAGTGATTGAACCACAAATTATTATGTAGTTGAATGGTGAGAGCGTCGCCATCATCATCATCACCACTATTCTCGTTCTTGTTCTTGTTCCCCCCGTCTTGTTTCTGCTGACACACACACACACACACAGGTTCTTTCTATTGCGTATGCATTATTTTTCACTTTCTAAATTTTTTTGATACTTCTTCACACAATGCTGTGATAATAATTTATATATTTATGTGCCACGCATGTATCTTATTTTGTTTTTTAACTATTTTGTATAAAAATGAGGGAAAAATTATTCAAAAAAAACTGTTTCTGCAGGGTTGTTTTTCTAATGTAACATTCTCTTGATTATTAATATTGTAATCATCTACCGGTTGGTGATATCCAGTGTTTTTTTGGGATGGTGTTGGGGGGCGGGAGAAAGCAAATATTTTCCGGCCAAATGAGAGAAGCAAAAGCTCCAATCCAACCTAGTCCTTTTGTAGACTATTGAACTGTTTAATTCCGTTATTATTATTATTACTATTATTAATACAATTAAAATTTGTTAGGAAGTATTTTTTTTGTGCTCCTTGCCTTTCAGTGCTTTCAATGCTGCACGGTGGTGTTTATCATCATCAACACGCCTGATATCCACCGCTTCTTTTTTGTTATTTTGTAATAGGATAAAATGTTCTTTTCCCCTCTCTCTCTCTCTCTGTTTGTATTCTGTTATTAAATTTCTAATTTCAGTGAGTGTGTGTATTTATGTACTACGTGTAAGGAAAACGTAGGCGGTGATCGCTGGTGAGCTAGCTGGGAATTGTCCATGTCTTCTAACTGTCTATTTTCGACACAGAACTTTGCACATATGTGCGGCAGTTCAAGTCGCCACACTCCCTCCATGTAGCACACAAATCAAGAAAAGCATAATAGAGACAAGTAAGCAGAGGTGTAAGACAAAGGAAGAGTAATAACGAAGAACAATATAGTTTCATTGGAAATCATAAGTCACAAAGAGTGGATGCATCTGCGCAATCACTGATTGAGAACGACTTTGAGCCATGTCACTAATTGGTTTTTACCGCTCCGAGGACCCCAGTCTGGAAGTCTACACCTTCCTACGTGGCTTAGACTAACTGTTGTAGCTTTCATTGACTGGTGCCAAGTTTTTGTTTGGCCGCCGCTAGCTTTTTTCCAGCCTGACCCTATATCCGCTAACATTGTCTGTCGGTCGAGGAAGGCAATGACTAGGCTAGGCATACGTAACACATATCCTAACCACCTCAGTCTTTGTAACTTCGCCCATGTGTTCTAAACGGATGGTTGGATTTTCTTTTATGTATTCCATTCAACTTCCGCTCTTACTCATCTCATATAAGTATAAAAATGTTTAACAAACCGAGCAGTAGCACAAGAAATGACCTAAATGATGAAATAAAACAGATAGAAGAGGAAGCGTTGGTGTTGAATAACTATCCTATAAAATTCATTAGGAAGATGAATAAAGGCCAAAATAAAAATAATTGTGAAACTAGTAATAATAACATAAATAAGAGAGAATATAAGTCATCTACAGTTATACCATAATAAAGGGGGGACAACTGAGACCCTTAATAGAGCAGGAATTGTAGTATTATTATTTTTATATTCTTTAATTCTTAGAGGAACATAGGGCTTCAGCTGCGCACCTCCATTACCTTCGGTTTTCTGCCAACTTTTTCACTCCACTCCAAGTCTGCCCACATGCTTTCATCTCCTCTTCACATGACCTCCTCCAAGTCACCCTTGCACTGACGACCAACTCGCCGCTTCCCTTTCGGGTTCCACTCGAGAAATGGCTTGTCTAGTGATGTCACTTGATGGTTTATTTCCTCAGCGTATGGCCAGCCAATCCATCTCCATGTCTTCCTGCCTATTTGTTTCACAATCGGTTCCTGCTGAGTTGGTCCGCTCATTGCCATAGATCCCTGTTGCTGATCTTTTCTGGCTGGCCATCTGATTTTCAGTATTGAGCGAAGACAACTGTTAATGAAGGTCTGTAGTTTGTTTGAGATGCTCTTTATGACGCTCAGTGAAAGTCTCTGATCCGTATAGTGAGTAGCACCGACTGACTTCACATTGGAGTTGAAAATCCGGATGTTATTTTTGATGCTAAGTGCTGTTGATCTCCACACAGACTTAAGAGTGATGAAAGCTTGTCTTGCTTTTCCGATTCTGGCTTTGAAATCCTCGTCAGTTCCGCTTGTAGTTGAAACGATGCTACCCTAGTGGGTAGGTAAAGGAGGTTGTTTCTTTCAGGTTCCTCCCATTTGTGCTGGCTGATTGTTGTCTGCTGTTGTTGTTGTTGCTGTTGGCCAGGAATCTTCATCACCTCTGTTTTATCTATGTTCACCTGTAGTCCTATCTTTGATGCTTCTTCTTCTGTGAACTGGTTGCTTTTCACTTCCATATCTTCCAGTTTGTGGGAAATCAGACTTATATTTGTTATCGGCGAAATCCAGATCCTCGAAGTTTTTTGTGTGGGTCCATTTTATGCTTGTTTCCTCGTTGCCCGCTGTCTGTCGCATTATCCAATCTACTGCAGCAAGGAAAATCATTGGCGATAGTAGGCAGCCTTGCCTCACTCCCGTCCTCACTTCGAAGGATTCTGTAAGTTTCCCGTTGTGGATTACTTGGTATGCAGCATTGTCGTATAACTGTTGGAAGAGATGTATAAGTGTCGATGGCACTCCGTAGTAGCCTATAAATGTAAATGCATTCTCGCTTTCACTTTATCGTCCTCCTGAGTAAAAAGATTGTCATCTGCAAGTAACAGAGTCCAAGGTGAACATTCACTACAGTTTTCTTTCGAAGCTAAAGATACTTAGATCAGAATGTGGGATTCATCTCCTAGATAATATAAATGGTAGTCAAGAAAGCAAGCAAAACACTGCGGTGGTGGTGGTGTGTTGTACTGATTGCTGATTGATTATTATTGTTATTGTTCCCTTGGGTTCCTAGTATGGAACATAGGGCTTCAACTGCACGTCGCCACTTGCTTCTGTCGTATAACTGTTGGATGAGATGTATAATTGTCGATAGGACCCCGTATAGCGAAGTAGTTGCCAAATCACCTCTCGATCGACGCTGCACTATCAAAGGCCTTTTTAAAGTCGATGAAGTTGAGTGAGGTAGAAAGGTGACTGCCATTCCAAGGTTTGTTGAATGATGATTCGTAGTGTGGCGATTTGATGAATGTATGACTTGTTTCTCCTGAATCCAGCTTGTTCCGGTCGAAGTTCTTCATCCAGGTTGGTTTGTTTGATTCTCTCCAGTATGATGCGGCTTAGTATTTTGCCTGGGATGGACAGGAATTGTGGTGGCATTTAAACCTACAATCTCACTTATGGAAAAGCTCAGTAGGGTAAAAGAGTCTGTAAGTTGACCCAATTAGATAAGATAATGTAATTTAGAAAATACCTTGCAATGTCTGTGAGTCAGGTCCATTATATCGGGGATAGTCAGATTATCGGAACATAAGAATTTATTGGCCAACGTAAGGATGGTTGACCCCGAAAAGATAAGTAATTTGGAAAAATGCTCAGCAATTGCAGTGCATGCATTAACACAGAGTAGGGTGGGGGAGGGTTAAAATTCTAAAAAAGTAATCTCGGTAGGTGGAGACAGAGGTTGATTACTGAGTCCTTCCTGGTTCATCGAGTCTACACTCAACACATGCAAAAAAGTGCAATGACTCATCACTCATACCGGAAATATGAAGAATACTACTGCCGATCAAGTCAAGCGATGGAATCGCATAAACGACGTTAGAAAGTTGTGTGAGTACTGCCTTGATATGATTATGAGGGGCAATAAACTGTGCCTGAAACATGGTCATCAGTAAATATTACTGTATCATAACACTGCGAGATTTTATCAAAATAAAAATTTACCCATAATGGGACTTACTCATGTCAACTGGGTTGTATATATTACTGATTGTTTGGTATGAGTAGTGGGATTGTATCGTTCACATCATCAACCAACGGTGAAGGGGTTAATTTGTTACCAGGGAGTGATGATAGTCTCGTTCACTTAGAATATACAGGTGATACAGTCCTTCTAATCGAAAATGCTGAGTTTTCTGAACACCTTGAGTGGCAATCAGTAAATATTTGGCATGCGATTTTCTCCTGTCAGATGTAGGATGGAGCTACAGGACTGGACTACATTGACTAATCCTAGCTTTAAGATAAGGAGTGAGGCGATGAAGCGTGTTGGCCACTTCACTTAATATTTGACGAGTTGCAGCAGTCAGCCCCAACAGGTTGATCGCTGACGAAATTTTGACACGGGTACAAAAGGCTCGTCTGGCGCCTGCCAATTTATGCTATTTCTTCCTTGGTAGACGTGATATCCGACTGGCTGTCGACCCAGTGGTGTATGTACTGCTCAACCTGGCAGTTTGCTCTGTCTTTCTTTATGGGTGCGAGATATGGCTACTGAAAGTGGGAGGTGCGATAAGGCTAGCTGTTTTTGACCATGGGTGCCTGCGTTCTATGTCCTGTACGGTGAGCGAAATTGGGGTCAGGCATCGGTCGAGTTCTAGCCAAGTAGGGGAAATCAGTCGATGAGGTTCTGGAGCAAATGCATCGATCGAAATGTTTGGGACATGTGTTACTCATGCCCAACCATCGACCGCCTACCTCGATGTTCACTGTTGGCTGACTGATGTAGGAAGGATCAGGTTGTAAAACAGAGAGCTGGTAGTGGTCAAACGAAAACATGACACCAGTCAACGAAATCCACGTCAGATAGTTTGAGCCATGTGGAGAGGTGTAGGCTTCTTGACAAGTTGGGATGGCTGGAGAGAGTTGATGATATGGCTGAAAATCGTTCTCAATAGAGCAGATGCATTCACTCTGTGATTTATTATATCCACTAAAATTGTATTATTCCTCCATATTACTATTCTTTTTGCCTCATATCTCTGTTTTGAATCTCTTCCCTCTTCATTTGTGTGGCGCATGGAGGGAGTTTGGCATCTAGAACTGCTGCATATATGCAAAGTTCTACGTTGAAAAAAGTCAGTCAACAGTGGAGAGTAGTCAGCCACATCGAATTGTAATGAACCTCCGGACGGTAGTTCAGCTGGCTTTGGGCTGGGTTCACCAGTGCTGTTTACTCGGTTTGCCTCTGCTCAGAAAGTTACAGTTTCTTTTGTAAGACAAAATTATTCAGATCAGAGTGAGTGGTCTATTTGAAACCGTAAATAGCAATCAAGAAGGCTACCGTTACTGTCAATCACGTCTCATAAACCGTTAATGCCCAGCTCTCGCTACGCTCGGGCCCACGCTGTTCCTTGAAGATTTCAGAAACGCTTAGTTATAACGGACGAAAAAACCAAAACACCGATCTGCCGCTTGATATTTCTTTATTGTTACACCAACATATGAAAAGAATAAGTGAACTAAGGTCTGAAAACAAATATTACAATAATAAATCATTGTATTACTTCTGACGATGTTTCACTCTTCTTTCTGAACAGCGACCAATGAGACGATGACTGTCGTATTGATGCCTCCGCGAAAATTGGGGAAGTTGATTTTGAGCAAACAACCAAGAATTGATCGTTCAATCTTCAACTCCATTGACAGTTACTGACTGATTTGAGTGATGTTCAATCATCTATGTCAACCATGAGTTGTATGCAGCGTCATACATTTATCCCCTCCTTTTTCATTATCCCTAACGGTATCAAGCTGATAACATA